GTTGAATTATAGATGGATCGTTTGGAACCTTTTCGGAGCGTTGAATAGCCTTATTCTTAATTTCGATATAAATTGAATGGAGTGGTGAGCACCACCGCAGGCAACACAACTGTTGTTTTACGATTTAGTAAGAAACGCAAGTGGTAAATTGGATGATTCTCGTCCTTTTTTAATTTCTTAGTGTCTGCTTCTAATTCGGTTTTATACAAAGGTTGAGGAATTTTATTTTAGCTTTTTATGTTAAAAATTGATTTTACCTTAAAGCCAGCATTTTCTACAGCTATTTTTGTTTCTTCAGTGCAGGCATTCGGTTCGATTCCTATAATTACCACGGATAATCACTTGTTACTTTTGAGCTGGAAAGTATAAAAATTTTTGGAGTTTTTCTTCAGATAATCGTTAATCTCACGGAACTGGTTTTCTGTTTCAGTTTATATCTTCATTTTCTCTATTGTGCCTTTTTTAAGAGGAGTAACTTAGAAAGACTTAGAGTCAATTAATTTAGACAGATTATTTACAAGAATACTTGAGCATTTTTCACGTAAGTAAGTTGGAGGTGGACGGAAAATTACGACAGTCTATGGGCAGATTTTTTTTTAATTTTTTTTATTTTATTACGATCTGTCAGATATGAGTGACAATAAGTTATATTTATTAGTTCAAATTATAGTAATAATTACTACGATCTAAAGAAGAAAGGCGCGTATAGACTATGCCCACTGATATGTCCATATATATTTAAAACAATAATGTGTGACCTATATATACATATCCAAGATGTATAGTGTTGGATATATATGCGATGAGCGTAATTCTTTATAACACATATTTCTTCCTTGAGTTACAGAACCTGCGTTGTTTATGCAGCTGTTCATTCGTTATATACCAATGTACATTTGTGACTATTAGTAGTGTGTTATTTGTAACCATCACATCATTGTCACGTTTTAGTCTGCTGCAGTACCCTGTAAGTGGACTCTATATAAGGGTTTTAGTATAGTTTTGTATATTAGCAGCTTATTATCGAATGACTGAATGAATGAATTTGAAATTTCGACTGAGGGGAACCAAAATAAGTTTCGCACCCAAAGCTTTACGCTTTTTGAATACGTGTGTTCTCCAGGTTAGTTTACCATCCAGATGTACACCCAAGTATTTTGTTTCTACAACTTGTGGTAATTGGGCATTGTTTTTTGAAACAGGCGGGCAGATAAAACGGTTTGCTGTGTCGTCTGCATATGTTCTAATTGCACTCTCATCGGTAAGGGGAAGGTCTGCAATATATAAAAAATAAGGCATTGATCCCATAAAGCTACCTTGAGGTGCTCTTGCTCGTACATCATGAAGCTCTGTAGTTTCATTACCATGCTTAATGAAAAAGTGCCTTGTCGAGAGGAATGATCTAATATATATGAAAAAATTTAGGGGTAGATTCAATTTTAGTTTGAAAAGAAGGTCCTCATGCCGTACTCGAACAAATATTTATAAATGCCGCAGTGCAATATTTCTTACCGTCTATTGTGCTATGAATATGTCTGACAAGTCTATGAATTTGTTCGATTGTGCTATGTTTTTAGCGAAGACCGAATTGATGGTCAGGAATGAGTCTGTTTTGTTGAAGAATCACTGTATGGCGCTTTAGGAACAAGATTTCCATAACTTTCGACAGGATCGAAAGTACAGCGCTATCTGCCACTGTAATGAAATAAGTCTCTTTCTTAACACAACGTTAAGTAAATGAGCGAGAATTACTTGAGGATATCCTCAAGTAAATTTTGACGTTAACTACTGAAGAGCCATACCTGTGAGTAAATTCTATTCTGCACCTTTTTTTACATTTAATTTCGTTATTGTGTCCATAACTACCTTAATAGAATATTTATTTAGAAGCTCTTATAGAAAATATATCCTTTATTTTATGATATCTGGAATATTTTGGTTATCGTTTGGTTTAAAGATATTTAAAAATGTAACGCGAATGTTTTTGCTTTTTCGATATTGTTTCTTGCCCATGAGTTGTTGGTTTTGCGTAAAGGTGGTTGATAAACGATCGGTCTGTTATTCTTTTTTATGGCTTTTCAGAGGCAGTAGCTTGTATCACCTAAAGCATTTAAGTTTTGGAGGTATAGGGACGTGCGACGATTGTTTTACTTTATAAAAAGGCCTTTAAGAGTTTACATGATTTGTTTAAGCGAGTTTTATCAGCAGGGAATCTCGTCCTCTGCCAATGTTTCTTGCTTACCACTTTAAGAAAACGGTAGAGTTGATTCCCAGGCTGACATTTGGACACTTGAGTTGAAAGATTCTACTGCTTCAGCTACATTAGACTCAGTTTTCAGCCGAACTTCGGTATTTAGACCAATAGTAATTACCTGACGATAATTGTTCCAGACAGTATTTTTGTTATCAAAAATACATTTTTCAATCATTTCACAAGACTCGTTAAGGGTAATGATTATTGGGAAGTGGTCGGATGACAAGTCGAAATTGGATTTACAGTTAGTACCCAAATGCAATCTAAAATTTAGTATAGTAACTACATTCCACATCACAATCACCGTACATCTTGCGCTTGCGTTGGGTCCGAAATAAATGCTACGGACGTAGAGTACGTGTGAGAGGGCAAAAGAGTACTTGTCCACCATTACAGTAAAAAATAAGAAAATCTTAAATAATTTTCTTCAAAATTGAAGGACTTAAAATTAGAAGTAACGCTTTTCATGTCACTACAACAGCACTAATTACGACAAACGAGCATAAAACTCGCTGCTGGTTATGCGAATCCGCATAATTTATTGTGCGTATGAAATAATTATAATATCACCAAAGGGAAGGAGAGTGGGAGGGGAAAACAAGAAAATTACACTTGTACAAAAATAAATGCGCGAATGAACGTTTTGGTTTTGTTTTTTTCTTTTTTTGTTAAACGAAGAGCACTTATTATATTTTTGCCTTACGTGATACATTTTTATTATATTTTTTTTGTCACCACACGAGGCAATCAAAATTCCATAAAAAGTTATTTGGTGTATATTTTTAGGCGGCGGTAAAATCCAAGTTATGAGTTCGTTTCAGGGTTGTTATTGTTTGTAATTTAGCTAGAAAACAGCAACGCAAAGTGTATTGTAATTAATTTTCTTTTCGCATAAGACATTTAATGAGCAGTTAGAACTATATTGGATTGTCGCACGCAATGCAAAGGGTGTGATTCCCTTCAGCTAACAGTAATTTTCGACTCAAAGAAAAACAGAAAAAAATACCAAAAACATTTCAAGGATAAATTTGCTGAAACCCAAACTTAAGCTCGCCGGCCTTACACAAAATTATCACAGCCTTGGAGGAATTACATTTTATTTTTGTTCCCGGATTAAGTGATTCGACGTGATACACGACATAACAACTTGATTGCACGCGCTTAAAATTGTGATATGAACCCTTGGGTTGCCTTTGGCAATCTACTTAAACTGCGAATATCGCACCGAGTCTTCGATATATGCAATTTCTGCAAAATTAAGTACTGGAACTTGAAACAATCTACGGTCATTTTGTTAGTCACTGGATCTGAACTGGACCATTTTATTATTGGAGCATTTGCATTCGAAATCTAATTTTACAAACACAACAACCTCTTGTTTCTAAATAAAGTACCAAATCCAAGCGAAAATAATATGGATATATTAACGATAAATGATAGATGCATATAGTGTAAGCAGTACACTCACTGCTCACACTTCGCTTTTGCTAAATTTGTAAATTTTTGAATCCAAACGGAGTGCCACTTACTAAATATAACAAAAATTTGAAAAATGGTGCAATTCACGTGTAGGTGACACTCACTCACGTGTGCTCAATTATTAATTTTACAAATGAACGCACACAAAGCATCCTAATTGTGTTCCACGGTGTAGACTTCATTTTGCTGTAAAGTTGAAGCGCTACCTAGCTCCGGCATGGAGCTTGCATGTGTATATTTGACGTGGCACGGCACGGTATGGCACGAGGAATATGCATCTTTTGCCAGTATTTTCTGAGCAATGCAGTGGCGAAACCTGCCTAATTCAATTTTTCAACTGCAACCCTTTGAAAGTGAGCTAACAACTGAAAGTTAGCAAAACCCCATTAACCTCATTAACTTTCGGTTTGTCTGTATTTTAAAGATTAAATTACTTAATTTAATCGGAATATTTCATTCAAAAATCAATGGCAGGCTTTTTTCTAGAGTGAACTAAAATAACAATCTTCATTTCGAAACCGTTAAATAAATATAGTAATCCCTTTTGATTTCTCAATTTTTTAAATAAAATCCGAATTAAATAAATCAATTCTTAAGCGCCAGCTGTTCTTACTTATAGCAGCCCCCCGATTTCTGAGCAATACGATTGTCGCCTCGCACCAATAAAACTGAAAGCAATCTCAATATTTGTATTTTATAAGCCACAATTATTGGAAAATTTTGATTTTAATCAAATATTTTAATTCAAAAAATTATTGTCATCAGTAAAATTGTCTATTTCCTACCATTTCAATTTAGTGTCATATACATAACTATAATTTTTTAAAAATATTATATATGTTAGTATTTTCTCTCACAACACAAAAAGCGGAAAGTATTTAATCTACAAAAAATACCTTTTTAACTGGTGCATAACTAGCACAAAGTCTAGTTATTCGTTCGTTCAGGCATTGGTTGTATCTCTAATACAATCAGAACTATGAATCAGTCATATCAGCTGTAATAAACCATACATCCCCAGTTCTCCTATCATGCGAGAATATTTTTAGTTCGGTGTCCCACAAAATGAACCCCAATCACACCAACTATTCACAATGACAAGAAAGATACACTATCAATAATGATTTTTTAATTATCTGGTATTCCTCCAGGAGTTCAATGCAACTTACAGTATTTTTCTCTAAAGGAATTATTTTACATTTCACTATAAACTGAAACAAAGTACAAAATTAGAATTAAATTAAATTTACTTTTTATATCTTTACAGAGACAACCGGACCACCTTTATGAATGGACTTGAATAACTTAGCGCCTGCCATGGCAGACATCAGCATTCCTGTTTTATTGTTTTGTGGACCCAGACAATCAGAAGTGTCACTAAATATTCGCAGCAGCCGCAGTTCTCAACTCACCAGCGACTGGTGACTGTCACGTCTTCTGGAAGCCCAACTAACATGAAATCCAACATTTTGTAGTCGTTACGTTGTCTCTGTTCTGTTGCTTTATGAATTGCATGCATTTTCAGCGCGACACCGTTGCGTCTAGTGACGCTACTCAGGAGCCTTAATCCCCATTGCAGCCAGCAAGCTTTAAATGCCAAAGCAAATCAACCGCAACGCAGTTACCGTTCCAGCATATATTTTGCCTTTTGCCATGCACATTGGTGCCGAAGTAATTATCAGAGATTGGAATTTGCGATCTGAGAAGGAATGTGAAATGGAATACTTATGAAAACTTTTTTAAATAAGGTGTAAATCAAATCTGTAACAAAGAAATCCAGAAGAATACAAATCAGAAACTAATTTTTTAAAATATCTGACAGCAGTAGACAGTCGAAGGAGACTAACAAGTGCCTGCATTAACATTAATAGCATTAGTTGCACATACTGTTTCAATTATTTAGCACTTATGGCCTGAAACCAACTTTTTCCTGATGAGCCAGTAAATAAAATTCAACGATACTGTTTGCAATCCCGGCAGACACTCGAGTAAGTTAATTTTATTTAGTACCAGCCAACATAACATACTAATAATAATAATTCAATTAGAGATAATTAACAAAAATGGCGTTCACGGAGGAAGTGAACAGCACAACGACGATTATATCCGGCGGTCTTTTCGACTCATCTAGGGACGATTACTTCCGTTTATATGATGCTGGTGATGAGGACGATGAAGCGTCCAATTTCATTGTGGGTATTTGGAATCCATTTGCAAACCAAACAAATATTACATCAATGAGTTCAGTGCCCGATACCTTCAATATTCCCCACAATAATGTATCTGCGTGGGCAACAACATCCAATGAATTATTTTCCTCTGTATCTTTATTGCCGTCTGCTGCCGTTCCACAACCCTCATCGACTTTAGATTTTTTGTCATCATCGTCGTCATCTGCCCCAATATTGCCCACTGTCAACTCAAGTGCACTCAACGGACACAACAGTAAAAGTGAAGAGGGTCATTTGTTCACTACAATTGCTCAAACAGTCGTAGAGTCTGCAGCGGGCAGCAGTTATGGCGATGAAGTCGACATCGCTTTGATCGATAGCGCGGAAACAGTATTGGATGGCGACACCGACTATGGAAACGTTGGTTTCAATGGTGGTGGAGGGGTTAGAATTGATGCAAGTGATACCGGTGCTAATGAAAATTTCATTCGTCAATCAATAGCATACAGCAGCGGAATTGGAAAAAACGAATCACTTCAACAGAGTTTCAATGAAGGTAGTAGTGTTAGTAGGGGCGACGTGGGTAATGTGGCAGGTGATAAGACTGGAAACAGCGGTAGTTCGTTCATGTTATTATTGGAGGATTTTGGAGAATATTTTTATAATTTTAACGGGAGCACGGTTTCTGGTATAACAACAGTAAGTAGCCCAAATATGACCGATTTTGAGTACCGAATGAACTGCACAAACTCAACATCATCGTCGGCAGCTTGCTATGACATTACTGAAGGTAAGTAATATCCGAATATTAATATAATTAATTAAACATTCTACTTCTCCTTATAAGAAAATTAAATTCGAAGTGAAACAGTTCAACTGCGCCAATTGTCTGATTTAGTCTCTAAAATATGATGCCAGAGAATGGATATCATTGAATCAAAAATGTAGTTAGAATTTAACATGTATCCATATCCTAGTTACTGTAGCCTAAAAAGTATACATCCAAAAATAAATCATCAAAATAAATTGACATCCTTATAGTAATAAAAAAAAGGCGCAATTGAAAAATGGGTAAAAGCATTGTCGATAAGTAATTCTGACTTCATTGCTGCTTAATTTACTTGATGTACAATGGCGATTATTCCACTCTGCTTTTCTTGCATATATTGCAACAAACATTGCAATAAATTGAAAATGTATTCTAAATATCTAAAAGCCTTTATACTCACCTAATAGAAGTAATTTGTTTGATAAAAACTGGTACAGTGGTTGCATTTTCCATGTTGAGTGAAACATTTCGTGGATCATTGATCAACTATTATCTTACATTTAAATTGCTGTAGTGTTGTCAAGGCCATAGATCCATATTTTGTTACAACATATTATGCAGTGCATAAGTATGCCATCAGTATTGCGCGTCGCATTACATTATGATGTCTCCAATAGCATAAGACCATGTACAGATTTCGGTAAAATCTAGTCATGGGTTATATTTATACTGAACGTAACCCAATTCTTTTAAAATATTCTTTGAGGTCAATTTCTATTTTATTTTAGGTGGGTTACACAACATGACAAATGTATTCAAAACTTTAAAAACTATAGTTACGATTCGTAGAGCACGCAGTACAAAAGTTAATAGTTAATAAGATAGTAGATGATGCTTGAGAAATTTTTATCAGTCAGTAAATGGAACTAACTCTATTGAGTTTGATTAATAATAGTTTTCGTGCATCACCTTTAGCAATTGCCTTCAAAGAATTTATGATAGTATTTGCTCGATATTTTTTGGAATGGATGCAATTTTTAACCCATTTCGTACCTCCGTGTACCACACCACACGGCTAACTTTGAAAATTATTTAAAATTATTTAAAAGTAATTAATTCAATGTTTTTTATTTTTGTTACTTAGTTTGATATCTTAATAATATAAAAATACATATTTCAAACAATTTTCATCTGTTCATGAGTTTACCTGGTCCGAAATAAAAAGTGTCCAAAAAAATGTTTTTTTTCATTAAATGAAAATTAATATAAACAGTAATAAAAACTAATATATTTGTTAAAACAAGTGTTCACAAAAGTCCAAGCTGTGAAGCTGTGAACCCTTTCTTTGGATAGTGGGTATATCTTCCAGTTTCTGCCATACTCCAGTGCAACTGATAAATACAACTAACAATTGAGAATCGGCGCATTTGTTGTAAAGGAATTATTGAACCATTGTGAGTATCCATTGCAACATACTCAATGATTCTGTTAAACGCATAGTAAATGTGCAACACTATAGCAGAGAAAAAAAAAGGTTGGTGTCTCACAGCCTCAAGTTATCAATAGCTATAACCGACACATGGGCGGCGCTGATTTATATGACAATGGAGTTGTTAACTATAGTATCGGGAATAGAAGCAAAAAGTGGTGGTGACCATTATGGGTTCAGTGTTTGGAGAGCGCTGTAGTAAACGTTTGGAAACTACAGTGCTTCGTCGCTGCTTCTACCAACACAAAACCGATGCCTCAGTTAGACTTCAAGAATTTCATTGCCAGAAACCTTCTTGCATCAGAGAACGCGATGTTCATTACAGAAGCTACCGCTGATGGTGATTTGAAAAAAGAAAGTCACAGTGCAACAGAAGATGTTTATCTTCTGGGAAATTTACCATGTGTAACCGGTATGTACGCTCCCTTAAAAACTCAAAATCGTCACCACTGTATTGTTCGTACACCAAAAGCCACAGCTTTTATATATGAAAAGTGCCATTTAAATGTTTATGTAGAAAATTTCTTTAAAATTTTCTATGAAAATAAACAATATTACATTGATCGTAGACAATGACGCAAGTAAACTTAATTCTTTTTACATAATATAATACATTTATAATAATTCAAATTTATTTTCTGATTAATAAATATTTGTAAAGCATAAAACATAAAATTTTATACTTACACGTCTTTTATACAACTTAAAATGATACTTACTTCACCATAAAAGTAATTAAATACATATATTTAATTATTGCGAACAAAACACACAAAAAAATGTGCCGTGTGGTCAACCCAGAGTGTGGTTGACCACACGGCACTTTTCTGAAAAAATAAATTCAAAAAACAATATTTATTTTTGCAGGGACTGTTTTTAATTTAAAATAAGACCTTTCTGAAAATTTCAGCATAAAGTTCCAAGTTGGAACTTGCCTAGTACTTAATGGGTTAAACGCATGATATTAAAAGATTCGTATATTATTCATTCATATATTAATGAGATAAAGTAGTGCATCAGAAGTAGCTTGCTAGGATGTATGGAATATCGAATTTTCCACAAAAGCTTGCATCGAATAGCGCTTTTTCATTGTAATGTCGAGAAGTTAATTTTGAACGCAAGTCGTTGAATTCGTCGTAGTTTGTACAAATTTAACCGTTAACAAGTTGTACTCGTGGATGCATTCCTTTGCATGCAATATGGAACCCAAACGTAATGAGTGGAAGGTAAGAAAACTCTCTTAACAGGCTAAACAGAAGACGATCTTTTGACCACGGTATGTTGTAATCAGTAAAAGAACATTATTTCGGTAATGCATGACGAGAACAATGCAAAGGCGATTTTTTACATCTGCGATTCCTGAGATTTTTTTTTACCATATAAATAAAATTTCTGTGATTTTCAATGACTTTACAACCCTTCCTTCTTATGCTTGTTCTCCTTATATTTCCTTTTCATGGAAATATGTGTATTCAGAAGATATACATATTTGTATATTGAGAAGATATTACTACATAATTAAAACGCTCTACAACAAATTTTGGTACCAAAAAAATTTTACAGCATCGGTTTTAAGAGCTTTTGACTTTAGTTTAAGACCGTCTGTGTTCAAAACCAATTTGAAATACAATTTGGGTTTTGATTGTGGACTCAATATGGCGTTTCTGTTGCCATATTAAAATTTTCTTTCGTGAATACAGAATATGCATCAAGCTTAGTCATCGTTAAGGTAGCTTTGGATTTTCCGTACTTTGCAGCTCGTATTTTGTGTTATTTACTTCAAAGTGAACTGCGAAGAAGAGTTCTTTATTACAATGAATAATAATGCAGTAATTAAATTAATGGAACTGAAACATAATAGCCGTAATTTTTTCTTTCAGAGTTGTAAAAAACAGCATTAAGTCTGGTTGAAACAAATTGGTATCACTTTTAAGCATCATTGTTTAATGCTTATTTTTGACATATGTTTGTTGTTCTGTTGGTATAGTACGAAATATGAAAATTGTAAAACTAAAAATTAATTAATTTAAATAAATGAATGAATAAATGAAATCAAAATGAATGCTCTTATGAATTTGACGGTTGACTGGAATTTTGCAACATATTTCCAGTGATTCCAGTCATTCACAATAGACTGATTTTTGAATTTGGCTGCACTAAAGCTTTAGACGCAAAATTTTTTGCGACTTGAAATAAAAAATTATTGTTAATATTTGCTTAGGTAGTGAATTACCTTGTCATAATATACAAATTAATAAAATAAATTATAGATTCATCTTCTTCACCAACTCTATTGCTTAGTCAAACAACCCAATCTAGATATCTAAGACCTGCAATGAGCACTCAACTCACTCAACTCGAGATATACTTAAATTTCAACTGCATTCTTTATTTAAAGTAAAACACTCTTATATTCTCTTATGTACTCGTCGGTGAGACTCTTTAATACACTCTCATTCTATAAGTTGTTTCCATTGCTTACGTAAAGGACAAAATACAAAGTTTTAAGGATCTTCTCAGTGGTTGATTCGTGTGTCTGAGTAAAAGCAAAATTTGTTGCGTGTATGTGAAGACAGCACCATCATTTTCGGTTCTCAATAAGATAATGGGTGTGCACCATGCCATATTTATACAAAATTTAGACCCTGAGGTAAATTTCACAGTGCATATGAGTACTGATGATCAAGGAAATGCTCGGAATATGAAATAGTTTTGCAACATCAACCTAACGAAGTTTATAAGGGATCAATCACTTAGTCATATAAAATTATAATTAAATTATAATTAAAATACTGATTCTCACCTTTTAATTCTATTACATATATTCCTATCTATGTATATAATTAATTGTCTTTTCTTACAGAGAAGACTATATGGTGAAGAAATTTTTGAAATACAACACTTTAATTTCAGTTAAATGAATCTTCAGCTGACCATACGCCTGTTTCCAATTCTGCCCAATATGTACCAGTGAACATTGGAAATATTCTTAGGTCAGATAGTTCGTATATAATATTTGGATTATATCTAACACTCAAGAATTAAACCTGTTCAGATTAGAACCGCGTGTTCCCAGCGATTAGAGTTCTGGAAGGATGCAAATGATTTGCTGCCAAATCCTTAACATACCTTTTAAACTATTACTATTTATTTCAAATTTATTTCACATCCGTTTCCACTTGAACGTTGTGACAATATATTTGGCTCCCACAAATTTTTCGTACAGAAACTATTTTTAGTTTTTACTAAAATTTTGGTTTTTAATTTTTATATTTGGCAGGACCCGAGTTCGATTCCTGGTACTTGCAGTCTCAAAAATAATTATTTACGAATAATTAAATATAAGAATTATTTCCAAGACCACTGATGAAGGGCATTTGGCAATACTCGAAACAGCTGTAAGGTTTCACTTCTGTTCGAAAACCTCTTTATGTACAGAAACTATGTAATACTGCACTAAAAATTGATTAGAATGATAATTTAATATTAAACTGAAATAATTAAGAAACTATATAGAAAATAAAATATTTACAACAAAGCAACTATTTTATTTCCCGCTATAATTAGACTAGGGAGTAAATGGAAAATAATATGCAGTTTTACTTATTAAAAGGACATAAAAGTTTGCAAAGAACTCAAGGATGCCAGGAGCGATAACCGCACACATCGCAGGCACAATGGGAACAAACTGCATGAAGAGGTTGAAACTGGGAGCGAAGCCGTTAATAATAAAAAACACGTTTACAAACTAATTAAGAGCAGCGTTAGGGCACAAGAAAATAATAGCAGAAAGGACGATTCCTTATAGAAGCCGATTTCGTATGAAGATAAATTCGCACATAGACATTGACCCAGAGGCACTTAAAGCTAAATGTGTGGTTTCTTGTATTGTGAATTTTCATATTCATTCATTTATAAACTAATTGCGATTTGGATATTATCTGAATTAATAAAGAAGTCTCCAAAATTTTGAACCGTCATATAATTTCCGTTTATTGAACTCGAACCAGTCAATAAAAAATGGGTTACAACGACCTGGACCTCGAATGAATGTCTCTCCAATTAATATAACGACCAATCCACGTCGTTACATTAAGAGATCCGTAATTAGAATTCTCAGAATTTTTCTAATGGAGATAACGTATTATCACATATTTTTTAAAAAGTGTGAAATCTGATTTTGATAAAAATTATTGCTTTATTGTTTGTACTTTTGACATGGAACTTAGAAAACTTTAGAAGCTCTCTAGCAAAGATTTAAGCTGGAAAAAAGATTGTACATCTATACGCAAGTCATCAGGCGATCAAAATTCGTAGATATCTTTTATAGAGATCTGTTTTTAGAAACCATCGCGAAGTACATCAAGGTTAGAGCGTTAGGTTAGAGAGGGGCACCCAGAGAAAGGCGTAAAAATGCTAGTTCTTTCCGATTCTTTCAATCCATAATTCACAATATACTCCTTAACTAAATATAAAATATATAAGCAAATATGTGATATGTAAAAATAATAATAATTTAAGAATATAAAGGAAAAGTTTTATATATATGAAAAAATATAAAATCCATAATAATGAAAAAACTAAAAAAAGTTTTTCTTTTCAGATTTTAGTTTATAAATCCTTATTATTACATTATTTACACATCTCACTGGAACAACATTTAGAATTTAAAGATTAATTTTTAGATCCGGAGTTCGAGCCATGTGGTAGTGTTTGTTAGTTGATTGAAGAAAATATTTCTTGTAATTACTTGTTAGTCCAAAATAATGGACTCAAACTCATATTTCAAAGGTTTACAAACTATTGTGTGAATAGCAAAATGAATCACACGCTTTTTGACACATAACATCTGCTGTGGTAGGACACATATCTGGAGACTGAAATATTTGATTTTGATTTTAGAATATAAGTATCTTGATAGTAATAATTTGCTTATACAAGGGTCACTATCCTTTGTCACTGCGAAACGCTGGTACAATGATTTTAATTGTGACCGCAGTTCGCTCACTGACGATATTCGTGAACAAGTGATTCGTCCACAATCAGTTAAATCATATAAATAGTGACTCTCCTAACATAGCATTATTCAACCCTTAAGGGTATTTAGATAACATCCAAAATTTCTTTATACAATAATACCTCTGATTTGTTATTCATTTATATAACCATCTTTGTAGAGCCTGTAGATCTAATAATAGGCCTACCATGCCTATGATTCGGACATTTCTTAATATTTTCATAATAATAGATTTATTAAACTTAGTTCAAAGTAAACTAATTAAACTTAGTGTTTTTGTTTGCACCTTAATGAGTTCGATGGACTGTGTCGTCAAACGTTTCAAAAATCATTTGGTTTTTTCTTATGTGCTCTTTTAAAAGTCAAGTTTTTCAAGGAGGTCCAAAATATGTTTGCCAGATATTGAAAGCTTAAACACAAGTGCAGAGTTGCTGAATTCCCAGTGCTCTGCGATAAATTCGATTATTATGTATTAAATACAGTATTTAACTGTGGGAAAAAATTTAGTGCTTCTTATTAAATTTTCAATTTCAACCACACTCCGTGACCAAAAAAGTTTAAGTACCTATATTTGAGAATTATTTCAGATATGACATAAATATTCATATAGAAATAGATAGATCAAATTCCTCAAGCAAAAAGCAGGGTTTTAGACAATTTTGAAGCAACTTCAACCAGATAAGTCCCGTTAGTTGCGAACTGGTACACTACACTATACTACAATCACCATTACTGATGGCTGGGAGCTGAAGATATCGCTTTGGAAAAAATCAAGCGCATCAATCTTTGAAATATTATTTCGAGGTTTGGATTGGAAATTAAAAAATATTCAGATCTCAGCAATAATGCTTAAATGGATTTATTTAAATGGATTCTACATTTTTCGGAGGGCATAGTTTAAAACACCATCAGTATCGGCAGACTTTTTTTTTGGTGATTTGAGTTTTAGGCTGACCAAAAGGACCAAAAAGATTAAAAGGTTCAAGTAAACTAAAGTAAATCTACACAGTCAACCCAATTTTGACAATAAAAGTTATTTACACATTCATTATAGTCATCAAACAAACCATAGGCGAAGAGATTATTGACTGAATTTTAAACAGCATCAGCAATATTCAAGGCAATTTGGTGATTCTGCTTTGGGGTTTTAACAAAACTGTTTGCTTGGATGGAGTCGTTAGATTGTTTAACTCACACATTTGTCTTAATTTTTTGAAGTCTTTCTTATGGTCGATCTTATTCCGCGATAAATTTCTATTCACAGGGATTTCTATGAAGTAAGAAGATATAACAGGATTTAGCTTGATTTTGTGCAATCTGCGATTCAATTCTATTATAGTTTTGGGCAGTAGCGAAGCGTCAGCTTTTTGACAAGGTGTTCACAATTTGATCAAAACAGAATTCCAACTATAATGTATTCCCCCTACTCCTGAGTTTTGTCCTTTCCACAAGCAAATAGCGTACAAGACCAAAAAAACAATTTATTTAAATGTTCGCAACCTGTGATCCACTGGTTTTTATGGTAAATAGCTGTAGAAAAACGGCTACTTACCGCAGATTTCGACATTTTTACATCAGGTACCAAATTCTTCATATCTGGAGTTGGTCTATTCATTTTATGAATTAAAACCTTTTTTTCAGAAGATCGTTTAAAAAAGATATTTGAATCAAAACTTTAATCATACATTTATCCATTTCTAAATATTATTTTTTTTTAAATTTCTTTAATTTTTTCTTTACTTTTACTTTTAGCACTTGCTATTATAAAATTGCAATAATGACTTTCTTTTTGGTTTATTTCCAACTTCTACATAAGAGTAAGAAACTCTCATGCATTTATTTACTCTTTTACTTTGTATTTACTATGCGCGGTTCAGTTTTTTTACTGATACATTTGCCCATATAAAATGGCAACCGTGACTTTGATTGTATTTGCACGCTTTGTATGAACTTCGAGTTCAGTTCAGTTCGACACCTCGCCTCTGGTTCTGGGTGTCATATTTTTGAATAAAATCAATTCCATTATTCGTGCCTAAGTAAAAATAAGGATAAATGTGAAAACTAATTGAATTTTGTTTGTGCTTTTATGTTGTTTTGCCTTGTGTATATTCTGTCCTAACTAATAACTTTTCTGTATATACATCTTACTTTAGCTTCACTTATGACTTTAGCCTTCATTCAGAATATTTTGTCATATGCACGCAAAAACTTATTACAATTTTAGATGTGGAATTAAAACTAGTTGTGAATATATTTACCTAATAATAACTTATATTGCGACAGGTTAATAGTGTGTGGAGCCATAATACCTCAGCAGTTAGGTCAAAGGGTACATGACCAATTTATTCCAACTGCAGAACCTTTGACTTGATATACAGAAGCAAATCAAAGGTATCTAGGTTGATGTCTGTTTTTACAGGGCACTGGACGTCGGGAAACCCTGTGGTATCATCTGCAACGCACGTCTACCAACTTTCGAAGAAAGGACACCAGAACACATGTTGTGTTTATATCCAGGCCTGGCCAGAATTAAGCTTATGTTTTTGTGACCCCCTTCTTTAACACACTCAGCGATATCTCCAGTATTAGCATTAGCCAGACTCTTGCCTTTATAAATGCTTCTGATTATAGTTCAACCTTCTTCTATCCATTATTACGAGGAATTGTGGATTCAAAAAAGCTTTCTTAGCTAATTGAGGAGTATTCATTTCTCACTGCACTTTAAATAACTAACCAGCATGATTACGGATATCGTTCGCTTAAAATCAAAGTTTAAAAGATCGTCCGAAGTCAGCTCTGTTTTAAATCACTGATGATCGTCATGTGACGTACCTTACTGTGAGGTTGAAGTAAACTTCAACTGAAATGATTAAAATATTCCTTAGATAAAAGTTAATTGTTACCACATCTGCTCACATTGTGAAGTTAGTCCATCAATTCCCAGATGGACTACAGCTTGACTGTAGGCATCATAACTGAATGAATTGATTGTTTTTAATAAATTTAAATTTTTTGTTATAAATCCTTTTAATACTAGTTATAATTGTAATTGTAATTTTATATATATAAAATTTTATAATATATAATATATAATATATAATACATTGTACGACGCTTAGACAAATGCACTTTCAATAACGTATATCTATATCGTCTCTTTTCAGTTGAACACAATTACTGGGCGCTCATACTTATATTGTTTCCGATCCTAACGTTATTTGGAAATATTTTAGTGATATTGTCAGTGTGCCGCGAGCGCTCACTACAAACAGTAACGAATTATTTTATAGTCTCCTTAGCGATAGCCGATCTATTGGTAGCTGTAGTCGTGATGCCATTTGCTGTCTACGTATTGGTAAGTGAAATTCGCATGAATTTACAATTTACAGGAGCAAGGAGCGGTTTAGTTTTAAAGATAAACTGAACTTTTTTGAAACGAATGTTGGCGTCAACTGTTTTAATTTGACAGAACCAACGGCGCATAAGAAAAGGTTTTTATCATTTTTCTGAGTTATTCTGGTGTTAAGTTTTTGACTAACAAACAGATGCGAATATTTTACCGTACCATGCCATGCCATACCATGTCATATATGTTTTTATACTAGTATTTGGCACATTATGCAGATGTGTTTGTTACAGTTTATCTATGCTTCAACTTTGCTTCAAGGCGAGTTGAATACATTAAAATATTTTGAAGTTGTGTCAGTTGGTGGTCGCTTAACGCACTCAAGTGCTGTAATGTGTGCTGGAACAAGTGGTTTTAGTATTAATAAATTCCAGCAGATGTGGCGCAGGGCGCCAAAAAGACGCCCTATGCCCATGTGTAGTGATTTTGTCGTTTTCTAACACACAATCAATGGATCACGCTTGGATGGTGAGACTTTGAAATCTAAATGTAAACTCCAATTCAAACGGATACGGAAACCTGCATAAATAACAAAAACATCAATGCGTAAAGGCAGACACAAAAACTAGAATAAAAAGTGGTATAAAAATATATAAGATTTGATTTATGCGAATGTGTCCTGTCAGTCCTTGATTGATTGCACAGGCAAAGAAGTAACAATTCGACTTTATTGTCGTTATTCTCATTTATTTGTTTATGTTCCTTTGACTGGTTTTCCTTATTTGTTCGAATGTGAGTTTAGTGGAGAATGGGAGGGAATATGTGTATATGGATATAGAATGAGTATTTACTAAGTGTAGGAGTGAATACCATACTTACGCATACAGTATATTTGTGTTGTTTTTGGGATTTAGACTATTATTCTTTTGATACTTAAGCCAAGAAGCAATGGGACTTAGACCTTCTTGACTGATTGACATAAAAATGTGACCGTTGAAAAAGTGATAGTTTAAATTTCAAAGTATTAAAATAAACTTGGAAATTGATAATATGATTTAGATATCCAGAAATGAACTAATATCTGCAACAAAAACTTTGAATGGGAAAAAGTCAAGAAATCATAAGTTGACATTTTATTTTTGGTTTTGTTATCTGAATATTGTCAAGTTAAATTATATACGTCTATTATATACGTTTATGAACTTAATAGTTATGTGTTTCATTTTCAACTGCTATTTATATCGAATTTAATTAAATTTAATTTTGGCTATTAATTAAGTTGATTTAATTGAAGATTTAATTGTTTTAGAATTATGATTTAGAATAAGAGATAACAATTTCATTTCATTTCTAATATCATATTCAACTAATCATTAAATTGACAAAAAAAGTGATTTGTTTCTTTAATTAGTTTTTAATGCATATATTCAAAACAATAACAATTTCAATAATTCAAGAAATTATTGTTTTGTTAATTGAAGATATACAAAATTGATAAACTAATGTGAACTCCATTAGAAGCTAAAAACCAGTAAAACGTTCAAAGCACAAACTTTGTTTTTAATATGTGATCAATAGTTATCAAGGGAAATATATAGACTAACATAAAGCGGAAGATATGCTTTATTTGAAATAAAATCCATTCAGACTTTTCGGGACGTTAGGATGTAAGCAATCATAAGCCAATTTAACGTTTCTGTGCTATCCAAAACACAATGCTATTACCTGTTCGACAGTATATGCTTTAGACTTTGCCTTATAAACAGTATTTTAAAATACAGTGCATATTAAAAAAAATGGATGGAAAATAGTTATCAGTGATGAAATACTTTCCTAATTTTTGAAATCGTCAGCAGCTCACAATTTTTGCTAACTATAAACGATTAAAAAAGACGTCACCCAGACATTTAAGACATGTGGACTTAATTCTACGGTATTACGCTGAATACAATTTTAAAAATAACAGTCTAATTCATAAAAATTTCTTGAAATGTTTTTTTAAATGCATTTTGATGAAAACGTATTTTAACTTTATAATGGCATTGTGACGTTTTATAAACTTACAGAAATAACTATGTATAAAGTCTTATTTTTGTTTTTATAAAATGTTTTTTTTGCTTTAACGAAATGTGTTCTGCAAAACGATCAGTGGTGCAACTGAAGGCACAACGGTTAGTATTAAAAGTGCATGCCAAAAACGAGAAATCTATAGAAAGACGCTAGCTCTCACAAACAAGCGGAGGACAGAAATTTGGATTTGGAGTATGAACTACTTCAGCAGAAAAATAAAAATTAAAAGATTTATTCATGATTACTAAATTGTTATTTAATTTGTAATTTTATTAAAAGTTTTTTTTCAATAAACGTTTTTAATATAATATTAGATTTCTTTCGATTTGCTGAATTATCATCACAATTTTCTTCGCAGTGAGATAAGGAATCAATGTTGGAGTCTTGCGGAAGTTCCAACGCCTCTATTATCAAGCGTCAAGTCATCCTTTACCAAGTTAATTATTTTTTCTACGCCTTTTTGTTGAAAATCAGTACCCCAGCTGAAGTTATTCATCACGCAGCAAAAAAGGATCTTCATATTATTTATATGTTTTTGAACATAATGTTGTTTTTACATGTACCGCTTAATTTAATAATGATAAATAGATATATATAATAGATGTTTTATTAGTAATAACTATATTACAGTAGACAACAATATATGCACAATATAATATTAACAATTCATTAAAAAAATAACATATTAAACAAATTAAATTAACTATTTATATATAAGTTTAAAATTAAGTTTAATATTATCAATATGGATTAAACACAACTTTTCACATACTTCTTATAACCAGGGCATCGAATCGAAATTTTTTTCGGTTCCGGTGTTCCTTCCGGAGAAAATATATCGGTTCGGTTCTGGTTTTCGTTTCTTCAAGAAATCGGTTTTTTTCGGTTTTTGGTTCGGTTCCGTATCAATATTAATAGCAAAGTTACTTCCAAAAATCATGCTATCATCTAAGTGATCAGTAGATTCACTTTCAGCTTCAAAATAAGAAAATACTCTTTTATTTCCATTCCTCCACTATCTGTAGTAATCGAATAGATTTGCTGGGCATTAATTTTATATTTTTCTAAGACTTTTTCGACCATGTTTTTGATATAAATTTCTATATGTTAATCTTTCAATTCCATCATTCCCACAGTAAACAAATTTATTTTACCGTGTAGTACCAACTGTGCATTGATTCCCAAAATTGATTTATTTAGTCGAGTAGCTATGTCAACTTTTAAAGAAATCATTTTTTTATCTAAAACTATACGTATTTAAATTATAATTTTAGAAGCCGTCTCAGGTATTAACAATTTAATGTTTTTGGCATTAACTAAGAAATTACTGCATATAGCAGTCAGTATTGGGTCCTTTATCGTTTGAATCCTGAATACTCCAACATTTCAAAGAAAAATCCATTAATGGTAATAAGTATTAGTCCATTTCAAGAATTTTTCAAAAAAATAAATAAATAAGAAATCAACAACTGAAAAACAGATGCACAGATACCAAACTATATGGTGCTGAACCGAAATAAACCAATGTATTTTTTTCGGTTCGGTTCCGGTTCGTTGCCCTACTTACAACATCAAACTAAATATTTTCAAACAAATGAGTTTGTACTCAGAACCAAACATGTTTATGCAGTAATCAAACAAAATCGAACGCAATTCCAACGTATAAATGTGCGGCAAAGCTATCCGCACATCAGGCGGCTAATATTCGTCGATGTTACAGCTAAAAGGCGAGAGACGAAATATGATAGAAATATATGGTGATTTAAGCTGCAAACTTTAGCCGCACATCTAACCCCTTCGGCAAGTCAACATGTTGGATTCGTATGCATGCAGTTGAAAATTACTTTCTTACAATTCCCACTATATAAATCTCTATTTCTCATATAACAAGCGTGATCACAACTAAAGACACAAATTTGAGAATGCAATTGTTTAAAGAAGAACGACGAAATATAATAGAAATGTTCTGCGATTTGAGCTGCAAACATATAAGCAGGACTAACAGCTATAGCAGCTAAGAGAAGCAAATTGATTAAATTATATTTAATTGTTTTTGCTAAAACTTTAATCTTTGAAAACATATATATAGAAATGTAATTAATAACATGAGGTCTTGATATTTAATAAATTTATATATGACATTTTGCAAATTATGTTAGGGTTGCAGTGCATCCTCGCATATTAGGCCATACATCACTTTTTAATTTAGAAAAATTGTTTTTGATGCGAAACACTTTTTGTCTGGGTGCAAAGCTATAATTGAAGGCTATGAAAGGATTTACCAAGTTGCACAAAATAGTGCTTGGAATGCCATAGACCTAAGATAACTCGACACGCAAAAAATGCAGTAAACTTCAACTCTCACCCGAGCGTTTCAATAATGCCTACGTTGATATAGTAAATCCTCCACTGAAGTTTTCAATATGCCTGCTTTGATAGATGTACTAAATGTCTAGACTAACTACCGTTGGGGTTAGGACGATTTGAACGCAATATTGCAAAAAATGAGGATTTTTTTGATGTCTAAATCTGTCTGTTGATTAATTTGGGCTTGTCTTTTTTAAAGACTAGGTCTAGACAAAGATCTAGACCAAAGAGATCTTTAAAATACTGTGTGGCGATAAGAAGAAGTTTATTTCCAAAAACAGACTTAAACCGGTATACAGACTCAATTTATATAGCAGCAACTTAGAATCAGCATAACTAGATTTCAGTCAAAAAGTTGATTTCGTGCTTTAACTTCTCTAGGTGCCAAGTATTATGTTTTAACTGTAAGTGAAATGAATATGAATACGAAATAATTCATTATGTAAGTGTTTTCACGGCTTTCCTATATTAATGAACTAAAACGTCGAAAGTAGATGTTTCGAAGAATTTTACATGCGATTTTATGTTGGACGACAACGTAAACCCCTCCGATTGCATGTAGCACCGAGAAG